AAGGCCGTCTCTTTTAAATCATTTAGATTTGGCATTCGAGACCGATTTGTTCTGTTATAAGGGTGCCCATTTGGCCCACTCTTGGCTCCCAGCTGTTCAGAGTAGGAAGGCCCTTCTGTGGCACTCCGGGTCACAGAGGACACGTGCCAACCAGGGTCCATCTGACCTGGCAGCTGAAGGGCTGGCCTGCCCTTTGGTGTGGGCTCCTGCCGGATGTTACTGCTCGCGCCAGAGGCCTGGGCCAGGGAGTGAATCCGAATTTCCGAGAAGGCATTTTTGACTTGTTGAGGTGTTAAGGGCTGGAAGCGCGGGTCCCCAGTAGCCGGGTGATTGGAAGCTGAAGAGAGATGCAACAGCTTGCGCAATGATTTTAATGGCTGGCTCTGGAAGACAAGATGAGAGTGTGTGTAGGGTAGACTGGAAAGCAGATCTGAGATGAATTCATGGAGCCAGAGAGGGTGGGCCCGAGGGGGAAGGAGGGCCTAATCCAACCTTATCTGTTCTTTTTTTCTTTTCCAGACAAGATTGGAGTTATTTTTCTTTAACAAAAAAGCCTATGCCTGGCATGCATGGTTCAGTGGTTGAGCGGAGGCCTATGAACCAGAGGTCATAGTTTGATTCCCGCTTGGGGCACATGCCTGGGCTGTGGGCTCGATCCCCTGTGTGAGGTGTGTAGGAGGCAGCCTAGGGATGATTCTCTCTCATCATTGATGTTTCTATCTCTCTCTCCCTCTCCCTTCCTCTCTGAAATCAACCAAAAATATTAAAAAATATAGTATGGATTTCAAAACTTTTAATATTCTTTCAAGAAAGTTTATTGTATCAATCTTTCAAAGCCCAAACCTTAAATCTTCCCACTACCTCTTCTTATCTACCCTTACATTTTATGGCATACCTCACTTTTTATCACCAATTATGGTTATTTATGGATTTTCTATCTCTTTTAGGCCACAAAGTATTCGTGGGCTGGGCCATGTCTTATTAATCCCTTAATCCCATCCCCACCCCAACCCCCAGCTAGGTGAAGTCTAATGGAAGATCACTATTTTCCCTAGGACAAGGGTCACTGATGCAAGATCCATCTGGACCCCCAAAATACACCTGGATATTCTGGGGAGATCTTAAGACTTGTTGAAACATTGACAGGCTAAATTTCTCAACTATGCCCCTTCTAATATGCAGTCTAAGAGTCTAGGAGTGATGCATGGGCCACTCACTTGAGGCTGTAGATCAGAGATCTTCTCAGGACGCCACTCCTTTGGTCTGCCAGTTGTGGTGTTAGAGTGAATGGCTTTCTGCAATGTCAGAAGATCAGGGCCTTCAGAATTGGACAGCTAGAGCAGGATATAGACAAAGATTCAATCAGCACACCAATAAGCCTAACTAAGATATGCAACCACACCCAAGAGGAGAACAAAAGCAAATCACACCAAACCAAAACTCAACCCTCCCTAAGAACCCCCCCCCCCAAAAAAAAACCCAAGAAAAAAAACAATAAAAAAAGAAACCCAAACTCTCCCAATGTTCACAATGCAAGTGATGCCAGTTAAATTCTGCTGCCCTCTTAATAATTTTCCCTGCATTAGGAAAAATTGGCAGATGTCATGCAGCTTTGTTAAAACCTCAACCTTTTAAGCATTCCCATGCTGTTAGTTTTAGTCGCTGTAAGAGAGAGCAGTTAAATTGGGCTGTACCAGGAATTGTTGTCGTATCCTCATTCCACATTGCAGTTAGGTTATGAACCAGTTCAATAAAACAAAAATTTGTTCCTGCTGGGAAAATGATCCAGACACTGTGTTTGGTGGTACTCAAAGAAGTCTAGCAGGTTTTCAAGGGTAGCAAAGTGGAAAAGTATGTTTGAATCATAATCACAAGACATTGCCCAGTAAAGAATCTGGGTCTAGCATTATGCATGATGAAAATGCTGGAAATTTGTGCCACAAATTCCACACGAATGCAACTGGTCCATTCACCAATTTTGGTGAACACAGTAGAGTAATGTCAAATGCCAAGCAAAAGCCCTGGCTTTAAACCCAGTGACCAGCAAAAGCTAGAGCCAGGCAAGAAAAAAAACAAATTACCAACTAACAGAAGCTGTTTTTTTCATGGAGCCAGCTAGCTCACTCAATTTGGTCAATTCAACTTGGTTTCAAAGAAACAAACTGCCAACCAAGTGTTAACAAACTTTGTGAGCCAAACAAAAAGACATTTCTGAATTACAAGTGTTAATAGAATTCTTTAGAGGAAATAAGGGGTTTTATGAATGCTGTCTGCCAACAATTGGCAAATCAGACAACCCAAACTAGCCTTTCACTACTTTGTTTGCTCAATAGCCTTTTATACTTCAACCTCCTGAACTAATTCGGAATATCCAGAATGGCTAAGAATTTATATCTCAGTGAATTTATGGAACTGGCTCAGGTACTTAACTAGCACAAAGAGAATATGACCCCATGAAAATAAAAGACATGCTGTTGTCATCAGTAAAACAAGTTTACTGGAGCAGTTTTCAGGGCTACCATACGTAAAAATGGGTACCATGGGTGGAGTGACTACAGGAAGCTTTTTCAAAGAAGAACTATGCTTTAAATGATTCTTTGAATTAAAAAGAGGAAAGAGGGATTTCTTGATGCTTGGATTCTCCCCGTTGGTGGAATCTGTCTGCAATATAAGATACAAATAAACTAATTGCAAAAGAAAAGAAAAAAAGGTGTTCTTACTGAAACTTCTAGCCCTTTGGAAGCCCTTAAATTGTTAAATATTAGCAGTCACTGAAAGAATAACTGTGCTATGTGTGTATCTAAAAGGGGTACTGTGTCATTTCTCACCTGGACAAGAAGATGCCAACAATGTAATTAAGACATGCCAAAAACTTCTACATATATGGAAAACATGTGGTCATGATCAATACCTACTGAAGGGATGCCTAGAAACCTACACATATCATTCACATTAAGCTTACAAAACATTTAAGGACTTATTTATTATCAGAAATATAATTATTATAAAGAATTGTGTTTAAACAGCTATTGATGAACTTAAATCTCTTCCTAATTGCTAGAGAAGACTTCAGCAATTAAATAATCTACCATGCAAACTGCCTATTAGGAAAAAAAAGATACTGCAGACTCTTTGAACATGGTCAACTCTTAAACCAGAACACATCACTTGGAAGACGAAGACCACTGTTGCAGGATTCTACCTTCAAGGAAGAAGCCTGGTTCTAGGCTGTTAGAAATATTCCTCCCATGGAAAATATCTGGAGCAATTCAGAATACGGGATTTCAAGGTGAAGAAACAGAAAGTTCAGTCTTTAAATTGAAGCATGATTACCAGTTGAGATAGATACTAACTTGGGTACAACTACTAAGTTGGCAATCACCATATGCTCTGAGGGCTTATGTAACTCTCTGGATTTGGAACTGAAGCCAGATTTCCCAAGGCGGCTTCCAGATTTGCTTGAGTCAAAGCAGGCACCTTTACAATATAACATTATTTTTTGGCACCACTTTCCCCTGTTGTGGATATCTCAGTTCTCAGAGAAGTAGAATGCATATGACGGCATTCCGATCATCTTTTACAGCTGCGTGTATGAGAACATCTAAGTAAAATAGCCCATGAAGTTTCTTGTTCCCATGATGGGCTCCCAGGGAAGAGTTTAACTTGCATCACTAAGGAGGCCACAAGAGAGCCCCAAGGAACAAGTTGTCTGAGGGTCTCCAGAGATGGGGTTGGTGGCAGGGACTAAGCCTGGGCCTGCTAGATAGGAGAACCCACCTCTAGTTCTCTCAACTGATAGAGCAACTTCGGGCAGATCTCAACTTGCCTGGGTAGTTCCTATATCAGCAAAATAAAAGGGTTAAACTAGATTTAGGATCCATCGAGGCTTTAAAATGTCTTGTTTCTCTGTGTGCCCTGGGCATCAGATTTCCCCTTTCTTGAACCTTATGCAAATGCTATAAAGCATTCAATCTTTCAAAGCTTGGTTACCTAGTTTCCTTTTGCTGAGTTCTAGAAAGTAGAAAAATCTAACTTTAATTCTATTTCTGTTCATGTGAAGGGGGCAGAGTTAACAAAATGCTTGGCTTAGGAGGCTGAGGTCTGGCAGGATATACTAAGTGCTCTTTGGAAATCTTATGCTAGATACCAAAGTCCTTAAAAACATTTTTTAACTAAAAAAATTAGAGGTACAAAAAGCTTTTGGTTTGGAATGCTTAACCCGTACAGAGATATTTTGAAATTACTTTACAGACCAAAAATGAAATGTATAGCCCAGCTGGTGTGACTCAGTGGTTGAGTGTCCACCCATGAACCAGGAGGTCACGGTTGCATTCTGGTTGGGGCACATGCCTGGGTTGCAGGAGGCAGCTGATCAACGATTCTCTCTCATAATTGATGTTTCTATCCCTCTCTCCCTTTCCCTTCCTCTGAAATCAATAAAAACATAAAAGTATGAAAACCTTTAAAAAGTACGTTCAAGTGGAGAGTATGTTAGAGAATAATAATTTTCCTATTTCTCTTAATCTATACTATTTCAACATCTAAAATTTGAACCAGATCCTGAATAATAGAGTCAGTCAACATGTATATATACTCGACTTAGGCCACAATGAGCTTGGGGCTTTAAATTTAATGTTGGTCTAAGATAGACAGACATCAAAATCCAAATCTATATAGAAAACACCTTCAATTCCTTGGTTTTTGCCACTTTCTTCCATTTAACCACCTCACAAGTGGCTATAGACCTGAGGTCAAGAACAAACACATTAAAATAAAAATAAGAGTGGTTATGAGGAGGTAGTCTAAGTTCAATGTTCATGAGAGACAAGTGTTCTATAGACAATGATAAAAGTGTTATTTTATGAGCACTTTAAATATTTTGAGCTTTTCTACTTTAAATTAAGCCTGTTTTGTTCATCCAGTGAC